ATTAATCCATAAAGACCTTAATTTTGATGTAGACAGAATGGTAGTGTTAATTTACTAACATAATATTATTGAAGACATGACAAATGTTGATGAAACGGTGTTTAGTAAGTATTTTGTTCAGATTGTTTTATCATAATTTTCAAGAGCTATGAAAACAGTTCCACCAACTAAATGATTACCAGTCTACAGAGTTACACCAAATATTTTTAACTTTATGTAGCACATCCGTTATTTCAAGAGTTAAACATATCATAAACAAACAAACAAAAAGATGTTTTAATAAGTTCATGGTGAACTGATTTAATCATTTCTGATGCGAAGAAGGAAACAGGTTGTGCTGAATCTTTACCAAATCAGCTCCAGTCCAATGGACTGCTTGGTTTTCTGGCATGACCTCACCGTTAAATGTAACAGTATACCCCAAAAGTAGAAAAGAACTGTGATTTACAGTTAATTAGTTAAGACACTGTGCATACTCCTTTGGTAATGAAGTATGCATGTCTCAAGCACTCAAAGAATATATGTTCTCCTTTCTTATGCACTGGTTCCCTCATGTTCAGAGTCAGAAAAAGTTGAATTTGTTTCTTGCACCCAAGCTGTCCATCTTCCATCCATCTTCCACCATCAGATCCCATAGACTTCTAACGAAAAAGTATGGAGATGGCATAAATGTACATCACAGAAATTGGGATTCTAGGATTTTCTTCTCAGAAGGAAGAAAATCTTACCCATATCTACTTTTTTTTGTATGGAAGACTCTAGAACAATTTCCTAATTGCCAAACTGCAAAGTTAACTATGACCTATATCACTGTCTTGATACGTTTCCAGTTTTCTAAACCGCAAACCTATGAGTGTGAACAGTAGCTGTAAGTGTGCCTGTGGAAGAAGGAAACACTCTAAACTTGAGTTGAGAGGAAGTTGTATCTCTTGCCATAGAAAGGTACTGACTTAAAAAGACAATTTTTTCAAATTAAGAAATAGATCATCACACTTCAGAGGTTAGTCCAAAAAAGCTGGCATGAAACCTATCATATACAGAATGATTTCTAGGGACTCAAGGCCATAAATCAGCCAGGTTCACCAACAGATTTTCATAGAAGGAATGTAAGCATTTCCACAAGGTTATAACTATGAAGTTGCCATCAGGATATGGCACAAAGCACTCACTGTAGGGTTCAGCAGCAGGTGCAAGAATTCAGCTTCTGCTAGGGAAGCCCTCATCTAAAAGTGGGATCTGTGGGGGGTCAGTGCCTTTGTGGACAAAGTCAAAAATCAGAACTGCCTTGCAAAGGTTGGGTAAAAATACTTATGAGATTAACAGTATAAACAAGACATACAAAACTTCCTCCAAACATGAGATTCAAAGGCACTCTTTACTGAGCTATGTCCTGGAAAGAAAAGCTTGAGCACTTATCAGTAAGTAGTAAGTCACCATGGCAGTATTTTGAAACTCTGGTTTTCAAATTTTCACTGCAAATACTTTTTCAGCAATTCTATTTATCTCATATTTACCTTGCGATACCCATTTTAGTTTTACTCATAGATCACTCTTACAGAATTTAGTTAGTTGGCTTACTTTTTTGCTACTTAACATTACATTAAAATAAAGAAGAATTTTATCAAATGAGTATCTGCAAATTCCATTTGTATGAAATAATAATTAACGCTTCTTATTTATATTCTGCTCTTGGATGTCAATATTACTATAAATTCTGAATGTTTGAAACAAACTAATGAACACAGCTACATTTTGGTCATAGTAACATCATAAGATGCGTCTCATCAGTAAAAGTAAACTTTCCTGTTGAATTTCAATGTGCCATTCAGTGGCCTATTTCAGGCACTCCATTGAAGATAATGTGACTTTAAATAATAGATAAATACCATTAAATCCTGTCATTTTTAGTTGTCTCACAATGCTGATTGCTCAAAATCTCATTTCCTATTTTCAATATTATGCTGCACCAAGCAGACGACTAGATTTAAACAATAATCAACTATTCAGTTGTCATCAGCTAGAGCTAGTCAGGCATTTTCAGGATTACTTCATATATGGCAGTTTGTGAACATGAAACATTCTGGGATCAAAACAGTTACACCTAAAATTACAGCAACAGATATTTGGTCCATACCATAAAAGCTTCCTAACTATCATGGAAGAACTCTTATTTTTTTGCAGATGGATTCTATTAGGTCCATATTGCCTTCTCTGACAAAATATGATTTTAATTATCCATCAAGATACTTAATAATTGTCCCTCGATTATAAAAACTTTGAAAATTGTACCTTTTGTATGTAAAGGTTTGATTCTACCTCCACAACCCAGTATCATAAACTGACATTTCTGGATCAGGGAAGCCATCTGCTGACATTCATAGGCATTAAATCAGAATATATATCTTGATCAACTGAGCGTGAGAAGAATTTGGAACTGTGCTCAATGACTGATCTAAAAACTAGGAGGTTTTAGAGGAACTACACATAGATCATTTTTTAAAATATGTTTTTGAATCTACCTTTAGAGACTTCAATGTTAACAACACACAGAAACTCTTGTTACTGTTTATCTTCTTTTTCTGTTTGAACAAAAAACTTGTTCCATTAAAGATTCCTGAAAGTATTTATTATCTTCCCCTAGCACGCCTGGAGTTGTCATTAAAACTGCTCTGTCTTCAGAGCTTTCTTTAGCTTACAATTTACATAATTTCAGTAGCTATGATTAGAAGTCTTCCATGTTAAAGAGCAAAATAATAGGTCTATATTAATAGTATAGATAGAAAAGGAAATTTGAATGCAATCTAACATTGTGAGGAAGAAGCAGCTAAACAAAGATATCTTGATTATGACTTCTGTCAATAGACAAAACAGAAGAATTTCATAATTTTTGCTTCAGGGAAATATTTTCTAATTTAATTTCACTGTCATTTCAACAAACACTAGGCAAAGTGTTACAATGTTTAAGCTGCAGCCATTGCAAAAATGTATTTATATTTGTTAAAAATTCACATCATGTTTGGTTTGCTTTTAGGAAGCTTCCTGAAAAAAAGTTTGACTGGTATCAGAGAAGCTTTGCGATTTATTTATTTATAAAAACGTAGATACCTAGCACAGTTCAGTCCAAGACATTATCCTGTTAAAATTTCTTCAATAAGTATTTCCTAGGGATCTCCTACAGTGGCTTTATAAATTTTGTACATATGTACGCATATGAATTATGAGCAAGAGATCTTAAACATTAATAACTGTTTAATACAGATTAACAGACAATTGCTGAAAGAAAATAGCAAGTGCTGCTATTTTCAGTCAAGCGGTGTGTTAAATGTAACACACTTTGTAATGTTCTTTTTATGTTTCAATCAGGAAAAAAAGAACACTGTCTAAATATTAATTTGAACAAACCACAACTGGAAACTTTAAAATTACAATAGCACACTTATAAAAAGAAATAAAGCATATGCTACTGCGTCGCAGACATTCAAATCAAATCACCCGAGTGAAATGGATAGATATGAAAGAAGCTATCTGAAAACACTGAATACGAATTTTCTTCAGTTACTGCTTAGTGTATGTTACTAGTAAACACCTCACAAAGCAGGCTTTGCAACAAGCAAGGAGAAACGTTAAAACATCCCACCTTCTGTAAAGCCAAAGTTTTGACTCTTCTTTGAAAAAGGGTAACAACTAAAAATCAAGTTCTTACTGCCTTTTCTTCTTTTTTATTATGTTATGTTGGGATCTTTAATTAAGAAAATAAAATCAAAACTAGCACTACGATGCAGTGCTCTTGTAGTGTAATTACTCAGAAGAGGAATGAGTGCCAATAAATGTGACAAATCTCCAGGTATCATTCACGTAGACAGCCTTATGACCATTGACTGTTTATGGATACATATTTAGCAGCTTTCGTAAGATTTCTGTTACAGGAAATGAAATTTTTCTGGACAGGTGTTTCAGCTTAATGAGGAAGCATTCTTAATATCTTTATTGTAGGACACAGATCTAGAGTGAAGTTGATTTATATGTTCTAAATAATTCTTATTAGTTTTACAACTGATATGACTGTATGTATTTAGAAGAAGAAGGTGAACACTTTCACAGAATCATAGAATCAATTGTTTGAGTTGGAAGGGACCATTAAAGGCCATCTAGTTGAACTCCCCTGCAATGAACAGGGACACATCCACAGCACAATTTAAAAACTAACAAGCAGTAAGACACAGGCAGGAAGTCAAATTGTAATTTTGAACAAGAGCAGATGACTGGGCCATGAAAAATAACATTCTATCTTCAAGATGCTTAAAAGACTGAACAGCCTGGTAACTGCATCTGCTTAGAACTTCAGAGTAAGAAGATTAAAAAAAATTAATAAATCTTTTCAGATTCACAGAAAACAATTTCAGATTCACAGAAAACAATGAAACATCTGTCCAATTTGTTTCATGTTGTTACATTCTTCAGTGCCTTAGGACTTCCCATTTTTTAAACAATTCAGCGCTCATTTTAATTTACTATAGTAGTGATGAAAAGAGCTACTATTTATTTTCCTGCTTATCAGTTTTACATTTAATTGTAACAAAACTTTCAGAAGACAAAGTGATCTTAAGATCCAGTGCTGACCCAGTCATCTCACTTCATTTGCTCCTACCAAGACTGAGCTCAAATCATAAATTTTGCTAAAGCTATCCTTAAATAAAAGAATATAAGAAGAAATATGGAATATTTATTCTTCAGAAACAGCCATAGTGAATGATCTACTACACATATATGAGAAAAAAAATGCAGTGACACGATTGGCACCACACGTTTACAGAAAGCTGAGTTCAGTGGCCATATGCATTGTTTTTGAGCACCTTTCATGTAATATTTCAAAGAAAGTAAGGTTTAGAATTTTTTTTTTTTTTTAAGACTTGCATAGAGCATGCATATTCTGTTTGTAGGTACAAAGGCACTCAGTGATTCTTCAAAAAGAGCTTAACAATATGTCCAGTTAAACTCACCTTTTGGGGTCTTCTGGTTTTTCTTCCCCTCCCATTGTGCTTATTTTTTTGTCCATTAAAAACTTTGCAAGAACCATAAGTAACATCACACTCTGACACGTGATTTTCATCACCTAGAAACCAAACACAATACAAATTTAGAAACTTGAAATGAAACTGCCACACTTTATAGAGCTCAGTACAATTAAAAAAAATCTAACTTAAAAATTTGCATCAGTTATTTTTCCATTGTTTCAGTTATGAAAAGAAAAATGACACATGAGCACTTGACTTTATCCTTCAGTTTCTCATCTTCTAAATAAACTAATTATAAAACTAATTGTAATTTCTAGTATTTTTAGCTCTGCATATTAATCACAAATAGAGAATGAGCAACACAGCTTTTTGTTTCAAACTTTGCAATTTCTATGAATACATTAAGAAATATTTTAGAAGCACTGGTGCTATGTTTTTATATTTCTTATTGAAACATGAGTGCTTTCAGAACACACTGTTTTTATCTGAAATAACCTGAGGGTCCAAAACATGTTTTCAAATGACAGTTTGTAAACAAATCAAGCAAGCTGTCAGCATGCAAGGATTGACAGCACATGCAAGTATATAGGTCTTGTTATTTAGAAAAAGGCACTGTCCATGAGAAGGTACTATAATATACGACAAAAAGCAGTATTTCTCATCACTTATTTTTTAAATTAACATATATTTAATTTGTCAACTTTATTTCTAAATGATAAAATTCTGGATTCATTTGAGAAGTTAACTTGCTTGCAAAAGACAAAAAAGCTTTGATCTATCTTTTGATGAAGTTTTAATTTCTGAAGAATGAGGTAAGTTGTTCTTCCTAAATTTAATTCAATTTAATCCATGTTAGGACATTCATTAATGTTTCATTTAAAGAAACCTAAAGAAGAGACCTAAATTCAACTCCTCACAAATAATCCTATTTCAATATTACCACATTTAAAAGTCTAACTGCCTATTCTATTCAGTGGAAATAAATAGAAGGTGTTACTTTTGAAGTGACCTAGGTATTTGTTATTGCATTAAGGTCCATCATCTTCAATCATACAGCAAGACTGATGGCAAGAGGACAAAAGATCTTGCCACACAATAAAAAGAAGGTAAGAAAAATAAATGTCACCGTTTGGGAAATGTGAGTTTAGAAAGCTACTACTAAACATTTATTTTCAAACTTAAATAAAAGATATTGGGCCACAAAATATGTCAGGAGATTGACTCCATTGCTTCACCCCAAAAACAAGGTATCAGTCTGTTAAATTCCAGTAGACTTCCCAGTCATTTAATTCACTGTAAAATGACAATACACAAGCATCTTGTTTTCTTTCTTTCTTTTTTTTTTTCTGACAGGGAAGCAGGGCAGTGAGAAGTGCTCAAATATTCCTTTTGACTCTCTAGACCCAAATGTTCAAGAACCTTAAATCTTGTCCCACTTAGATTTAAATCCAAAGACTTGGATTAAAGTTCCAGTGATGGTTGGACTTCTTTCCAGTTTGGCTTCATTCTCATTTGTTGTCTGCATTTACAAGACAGCAGGGAAAGTCCATCACCTTTATAATTATCAACTCAAGGACTCTGCATATTACATAAGGGTTATTTGTTGCAATCCAGTTCCTACTTCCCCTGCCCATGTTTCTGCTCACTATTACTTTTTTTTTTTAATTTATTAAAAACAGTTGCTCAGTCAAAAGTAAGGTTTTCACCTTCAGTAGCTTTTCCTAGGGCATTTCTAATAAGGTTGAGAGAATTGATGGAAGCAATTGTACCCACTATTATCCACAAATTTAATCCAAACACTCAGCAAACTCATTGTGTGATTAGGTCTTCTAAATCCTAAAACATTGCTCAGTGGCTGGTATCAACATCTTCATAACTGAGAGGTCTTTCGATTATTACAACAAATTACAACAGAATGGCTTTAATTTACAATTTAAGTTTCTCATCATTCACGATCATTTATCACCACTGAATCAGAATATTATCTTCAAAAATCCATATGATATTTTGAGTTAAAAAGCAAGTAATGGTTAGATATTATGGGCTAGTTTTTGTTCAGTCAAATCATAAACATTTATTATAAGCTTTATCTGCAGTGTTCTCCTTTATGAATATCTTAAAGTGTCACTGCAGTTAAGTTACAACACATCTACTATTCTATACTTTTATGGCAAGTGTCATCAGACTTTATAAATTCAACATCAAAATAATCGTTAACTCATCTCTCTATTTTGAAATACTTGTCCGTCTTGTTTTAAAACATTACAATTAAGTTTTTGTGAAGATAAAAAAACAAAGGAATCGAGCATAACTCTTCTTCATTCCTCACTGTTTTTAAAGGATAAGTAAAATAATATTAATTGATTAATTTTAAAGATATGTACGGTATTTTAGAAGCATTAAGCACCTATCTCAACATTCTAGACCTAGTACCTCAGGTAAAACATACCCATCTAAATCACACTTGATCATTTTTGTACTGAATAACAGAATGATATTTCCAATTCCTTATCTCAGTCTTGAACAACACCTACTAAACAATAATTGATCTTACTTCATGTCCTTTGGCCAAATAAGATAATTTTGCATCCCATATTCACTATAAATGTCTAAATTCACTCAGTTAAGCCTTAAATATACTGTCAAGACTGGAAATAATGCTAGCTCCAGTTCAACTTTAAGTGATTTTAGGATGATTAAAAAAAAATAATAATAACCTTGTACTCTTTACCTAATATTATTTATTGTTACAGCTTTGACATTAAGTCATATAAATTCATTAAATTTAAGTATTAGCGTTCTAAACGGTGTAGTTCACGTGCCAACTTATCTTACCATCAGTCCTACTCAAAGATCTGTAAGCAGATGGAACGGATTTCAAGATAAATCGATGTATAACATGGGTGTCCAAGTTGATGGCCTGCCTTGGCCATATTGAAAAAAATATTTCTTATTAAAGCATAAAAAAGGGCAACAAGAACAAAAAACTAGTGGGATACTTGACCTTGTTTTAGTGAAACTAATAAACACATTAACTTACTAACTTATGAAATTATTATACACAATAAGACAAGCTCAAGCTTATTAACTAAATAAGAAAACTTACATGTCTGCTTAATGACACCACACACACATAGGCACACACACAGGCAGTTGAAATATTATCTGCAATCATGGTGTTTTATCTGCCAAGTTGCACGCATGTAATATGTAAGGTATGCTGGTTTTGGCTCAGTTGAGTGCAGTGGTGAGAGCAACAGGCAGAGTTAGCAGTGCATTGTGCCCTCCTCTCATAGCATTCTGTTGCTGCCTATGCAGCCTGTACTGAAGCTATGCACATTTATTCATGAAAAATATTGCTAAAATCACATGATAATGGTAACAGTTTACAGTCTTGTGAGGCCACATTTCTAGCTGCCATGTGACCTGCAGGCTGCAGGTTGGGCATGATTTAAAACATGAATGACAAGGAAATTCTAAGACTGCTAATGACACAGATTGTCAACATTCACAATGGCATTATTGTATATAACTCAAAGCACCATTATGCTCATCCTGTAACTGCTAGAAATGTAGGCACTGACATGCAAAACCCAGAGTTAAATTTCTACTTTAAAACCAAAGAGTAGGAGCACCCCTAACTTAAAAACGGGATAAGAAAAATGCTTGATATTTAAACATATACAGATACTGAGTCAATCTTACAGTGATTTTATCACTCCTAACCATACATATGTAAGGAGTAAGTAATAATATACTATTTACCAGTTTTCAAACCATGTAAAATGTACAAACAACAAAGCAATCTACTATTTATTTACTAATTAAAGTGGACGTGAAATAAGGAAAATAAGTATTAGAAAATAAACATCAGAATGTATTAAAACTATATTTAATAAATATTCAAGTATTACATTTTACAGTGTCACAGTTAGAAGTTTAAAACACAATTTTAATTTTCTTCCACAAAACTTCCATTAATAGTGAAAATACAACTCAGTTTTTATTAGCGATCTCTGCTATTTTCAGATGAGCTTATAACCAGAAAGGATTGAAAGGAAAAAAACGGAAAAGTGTCTGGTAACTTTTGTTTGCTGAATACCCTTCCTTAATCCTCTACTCCAAAATCTGTGAGCTTAAACAAGTTGTCCAATAAAAGTGTAACATGCTAGAATACTGATCTCAATTTCATCACTAGAATCCATGATTTAGAATTAACTCTCAAATTAACTAACACAGCTAAGTAAAATATGTTTCCTCCTTCCTTATTTTTTTATTCCTTAATAAGAAAACACTATTCTTTGATATTACAAAATGCAGCAATTAAGGAATGTCTTTCAGTACATTGTCATGAGGCATAAAACACATTCAGTGGGTTCATACATTTGAGGCTGTACACTTACATAATGTAAACCTGCATCTATATTTTATTGTTTGTTTGTTAAATGTCGTATAGTGATGTACACAGATGTAAAGAATCCAAAAAAGCAGATCAGCTCAATTCCCACTGATATATACACAGTTACCCTGTAATATTTCCAGTGAATGATTTCACAAGCATGAAACCAAAATTGTTCTGCTCTTTAAATAATAAATTTTATATAATGTATTGATGCTTTGTGAAAGTTTTTTGTTTTTGCAGTAGATACGTCCAACAGCAAAGCATAGGCCCTTACTGAACTTATAACATTCTTATGAAATGGCTGCATAGGTTTATAATGGATGCAAAGCTGTTTTTCACAAGAAAGATGCTGAGCAGCAGAACAGAGCGGAGACTAGGACATCCTGGCCAGGGTAGGAAATAAATCCAGAAGGCTTGAGCAAAACCCAGCATGATCAAGCGTGAATAATGTTGAGCTTTTGCAAAGGAATACACAAGGGGAAGACTGCTAAACAAATGTAAAATTAAACATATAATTAAATTTATGCTTGCTAGCACAGCATAATAGATATCATAAATCAGGAATTGGGCTTCGTAACCTTTAGATGTTTTCTGATATGGGTTTCTTCTTAAATGTGGCTTTCATAAGTAGTAAGAGAAGAAAAAATGGAGAGCAGGGTAAGGAAGCCTAGCACAGAACAAAACAGGTGTAACAGCTTCAAGGAATACTGCTCTCCTGTATCCATAGAAATGTACAGAATGATCCTAAAAACAATAGATTGGTGATAGACTTCATTTGGAAAAGTGGATGTGTTGCTTAGACTGTAAGCCTGGATACTTAGCCAATAGGGGAACATGAAAGTTCCAGGATGAAAGTATCCATGATGGGAGGAAAAAAAGAGTATATAATGAGAAGTGCATTACTGATCAAGTGCATGTTTTTTCCTTTGCCACAAGGGCATACATGCCCACTATTGCAATAATGAATAAAAACTTCGCTGCTTCACTGAGATCTTTGTCTGATGGAAAATTATTGGAACTGAGCATTTCACAGTATCATTCTAGAATTTTCCTGACTTCTCAAACTAAATTAAGAATGCTCAAGTATAAATAATATTCTTAAAATTGTTATTAAAAGCAAAGATCAGCTCCATATAAACAAAGCCATAACTGAAAGAGATGCTTACTTCACACATTATTCAGCTGCCCCATGTGAAGGAGATGGACTCGATCTTCAAGGGCCCATTCCAACTCAGAATATTATGTGATTCTGTGTGCCCTCAAATGTCAAAATCACTCTTCATTACAGCAAAAGTTAGAAATTGTTTGGTTTATTTCCCATTAGAGATTTTGTGCTTTTAACAGTAATTTTAAATTGTGAAATAAGAATAATTTTAACAGGGAATGCTATGCTTTATAGTTACTTGTAGACAGCTCACATAAGTATCATAACTTTAAAAGGATGAAGAACTTGTTACCCTAAACAAGTCTTGAACAGAATGACAGAATTGTTTGAGTTGGAAGGGACCTTTAAAGGTCATGTAGTGCAACTCCCCTGCAATGAAGAGGGACATCTACAGCTAGATCAGATTGCTCAGAGCTTGGTCCAGTCTGACCTTGAATGTCTCCAGGGCAGAACCTGCTAAAGAGTCTGTCACCTTACTTCTTATAAACCCCTCTATATATTGAAAGGCAGCAAACAAGTTTCCCAAAAGCTTTCCCTTCTCCGGGCTGAACAGACCCAGTTCTTTCAGCCTGAATAGCAGCATAAAGCTTACAGAATGCCAAGCATTATAGGAAGAAGGCAGCTCACAGTTTTGTTGCATTTTGTAAGCCAATTTCCTTATCTCCTGATGACTTTATGTTTGCAGTATATGAGAATACAAATGTGTGTTCTTCTGGCTCCTACACAGTCATTTAAGTAAAAGTCTGGACTGCAGCATTTTTTTCTTTTTGTGTAATTCTCAAGCATTTTTCCATTGAGAATGACATTTTGCATTTAGTTGTACAAGTATTTCTAATGCAGTATGGTATTCTTTTGTTTTCTGTCTCTATGTATAGACTTCCCAGGAGTGTGAGTACAGCTGATTCTATAGGATAGGCATGGGCATACTGAGGCAGATCGTTCTCAAAATTTAATCTAGACCTGCAATTTCAGCTTTTTCACCATCAGGCATACCATTTAATGGCATGCTTTCTGTATGTTCAGCTAATGTAAACAACTTGTTTATTAAAGCATGATTTGCTGTAAAAGTCTTTTTTCTGCCTCTCTCATAAATACTATGTAGCTTTCAGGAACACCTATCAGTTGAGCCCATGCCTCTAAAAGATTCTTTGCAGGAAACTTCAGGAGGATTCTGGGACTATTTTAGACCTTGTAGCTGGACTTTATTCAAATCAGATGAGAAAAAGAAGTCATCATGAGAAGTCTCAACAGTACACAGATCCTTGCTATCTGTAGTAACCCAGTGCAAGAACTCCTTTTTAGACCCTGACACACTCAGTTTAAAGCTAGACAATGTTTGTAGTTGATTTCTTTTTCTGTGTTCTGTAAGACTATCACTTCTGCCAAAAGGGAACCTTATATCAAATGAACGTGCATTTAATTCTTCACTGCTCACAAATGAATTAGAGAGACTGTCATTCAAAGCACTATTAAGAGTAATTAACTCAGCAGTTTTTTTGGGAAGGAGTAGTATGAACCAAGTCCTTGATTCGTAGAAGATAAGTTTTGTTTGCAACTGAAGTAGTCACTGTACTTTCATCCTTATGGTTTTGCTCTGAAAAGTTTTCTAGATCTTTAATTCTAAAGACAAATTATCATGCAAAGTACTCTGCAAAATCCGCTTTTTACCTAAGCTTCTTCTGCTAAATTGCTTCTGAATTAAGCTCTTCTGCTCACAGCCACATGAGGAAGAATTCACTGAAGCACTCACAGAAACATGAGTACGAGTCTGAGTATCGCAGATGTTTTCTACCTCTTTTTTCTGTCTCTTTGATGTAATAGTTCCAAATAAGTCATCACAACTTGAGTTCAAGCAGTCTTTCTTTTTTTCTCCTGTAAAATATGAATAGTAGCAAAATAGACAGTTAAGAAAACAGGAATAGAACAAAATTTCTAAGTGAAACACATATGAAATTATTGAAAAGAAAAAGCAAGGATGAAACCACTTACCTGAATGTTCAGTGGCCAAGTCATTAAACAGAAACAAAGTATATTGACGAGAAGCTGCAATAAGTTTTACTATCATGTATTTCTATGTGTTAAGTATTTACAAACCCTATCTTAAAACGAAGCGGAGAAAATCTCTAACGTGTGAGAAAAGCAGCATGATTTTATGTTGATAGAGTTAGCTGAAATCTATATAATCATTTTAGCTATCACAGAATTACTCATCTTCCTGTAGTTTTCCCAGAGTTAGGAAGAAATTAAATACACAGTAGTATCATAATCTACGTACCAACATACTGCAATAAAACCAAACAGAACGTGGAAAAAGATAACATATATTTTAGTTATTCTAAAGAAATTATTCTGGGAGATGATAAAAAAAAACATTCATAACCCTTCACAGTAAATTCCTCTGAAATAGGCTTGCATCTTTGACTATTCAAAATACAATTTTAAGAATCCAGTTGTTCCATACAATTTTCTATACTCTATTTTTTACAACAAATGTATGCTGAGTGCAGTTTCAGCAATACTTCCTTTGTTAGTGCTGCTGTAGGTTTTAGGGGAAACAGCAATCTTATTTCCTCACTAAATATAAATAATGATTTAAACATATGGTATAATTTGGTACATTCTGAATTAAGCTGCAATTGAAATGTCAACCAACGCACTCTCATAAGCCTTACAAACAAACAAAAGGGTCACCATGACTGAATATCAGAGATGGAAACTATCATCAGGGATATAGAGGATCGCTCCTAAAGTAAAGGCTGCTATTTATTTCTGTGGGAACTACAACAGATAGAAAGATCATAAGGACACTATTTGATAGAACAAATTCTTAGCTACAAAACACTATTTTTCAGCACAGTCACCACCATTAGCTGTGCATTATTGCCAGCAACAAACAAGAGTCTGCATACTGCACTCATAGGAATCTGCACTAGCAGGGGTGACCCAGTATTTCACAGCTGCTATGATGGCATCATTACTGAAACATACCACCTTGCTGTGCTCACACCCTCTGTTTGGTCTCCATAACCATTCAGCAAGCGTGATGAATGTCAGTAGGTGTCACTTATTCTGCTTGGAGGAATTCAGTGACACACATTTGCTGCATGCACACTTCTATGTCAGACATCATTTTGTCAGACTGCCCCTCTGCTGCCATCTGTCACATGGCAACAAAATGTAATGGAGTATTGGTGAGAAGGTCCAACATAATAAAATAGAGTGCATTACTTTCAAAGCAGCCCTCGTAATATAAAAATCTATAGTGCAGCTGTAATGCTGGAGGGGCATATTCAAGGTAAAGTGCTCAAATTGATGTTTAACCTTATCAGCACACAACCACTTTACTGAGATAAAAGAGTTTAGTGGTATAGTTACGCTATTTCCAGTATCAAGCTTCTACTTCTTTCTGAAATTGCATGAAGGCATATCTGGCTGTGTCAGGATACCACTGTGTATAATTTTGCCTCTGTTCTCATGTACGCCAGCATGACAAATTTTCTGTATGAAGTCAGTACAACACTTAAATATATATACACATATATACACACACATACACACGCACACACTTCACTGCTGGAGAAGAATGGAGTAGGCAGACCAATCAAATGGTCTTCATTATGAATTCTAAAAGCTGACTTCTTATTTACTACTAAAATCCATCTTATCTTTTTGTTCTGACTGACAGGAGACATGCAGTATGAAGTACGTAACTCATTGTGGACGTTATTTCTTAATGCTGTTAAGAAACCTACAGATGTAGCTCAACAACTTTCATGATCACTCTCTGCCTTATGTCCTGCTACTACCTCAAAACATGGGCACTAAAGTCTAAAGCACTGACTACAAGAACCTTAACATGTCACTTTCTGAATATTTAAGCTGGAGAATGCATTAGGTTTTCAAATTTTTCCATTGGAAATTTGGAAGACAGTCCAGTTTTGTGAGTCCTATTTTTTACTTTGTTCTCACATCACATCACTATCGGTGTTCCATACATAGAATCATAGAATTGCTCAGGTTGGAAAAGACCTTAAAGATCATCGAGTCCAACCACAACCTAACCATACTACCCTAACTCTAACAACCCTCCGCTAAATCGTGCCCCTGAGCACCACATCCAAATGGCTTTTAAACACATCCAGGGATGGTGACTCAACCACTCCCTGGGGAGCCTATTCCAGTTCTACAGAATTCCTTTATCAGTAAACTGATAGAATGCCAGAACAAGAAGCCATTAACAAGGAATAGAATTACTTGTCACACAAGAAAGTGACACAGGCAACACAGCAGTAAGGCACAACATTTACTCATTGTGACTTCTCTTGCTCCAGTTCCTTGAATTCTTACTCCTGCATACTCTGCCAATTAGCAGAAAACCAAGATAATTCAACTTTATATATTTTTATATATATTTTTTAATATATAAATCTATAAGATATACAGATCATGTATTACGTTTAAATTCTCTAACATGTAAGTAAGGTTGAAATAGTTACCTTGCAATGTGTCTTCTGAATTAGTTATGGAGGTAGACAATGGGCAGTCTCCTTGTGAGCAACACAGAGGCACCTGAAACTTTTGGGAAGCTAGGAATTTGCAAATGATAAGTTAGTCAGCTCTATGTGCAGACATACAAGTTTCTACAGCATCTATTCATATCTCAAAAACAGTTCAATTTTAAGAGATATGTGGTTGCTTTGACAACTAATTATAGATTGCTTAACAGTATCTCAAACTTATTTACTCACAAAAAATTTATTAGGTTTTTCAAATGAATCAAATTTCTTCTAGAAAACTCAGCACCATATTTTTCTGAAATAAAAGAATGAAAGAAAACTATTGATGAAATATTATGGATGCTTCTAAGCCAGTTGAGATTTTTTAACTAAAGAATCTGGTAACTTCTGCAGCTAGTAGAGATGCCTCCATACAGCAGAAATGCTTTTCAAAACCCTTGGAAGTATTACCTTAAAACTGCAAGAGAAAACAAATACAAGCCATGCTAAAATAAAAAAGATTTAATTTTTCATCAATGTATAACTCTTTCTATAATTTCCTTTCACAATTTTATTTGGAGGAATAAAGTGACAATTTATTTGACAGATTTCTTGAAACTTCAAATGCTACAAATTTTTCCCTACTGTGAGACAACACAAACACTGATAAATTATTTGAAACCTCAAGTCTAGATTTAAATCACCAAGATCTGCATTTTCAAGTCAACTGGTTTTATTCACTTAGATCTTTTTTTGTTAGATCCCATTCTTCAGTACCTGAACAGGTGCCTTAGCATTTTGGAACTTCTTTTAAACTGTTGGCTTAGAAGTAATAACATTACAATCTTTGTCAACTATGGGATTCATATTAGAATTTAATAGGAAATAAGATTTAGAATCTTGCTATAAAGTTCAACCAAGTTATAATGGCAAATTACAAACTTAAAAGTCTATTCTAGTCATTATTATTCCCAAACTGTATTAAGAAATTCCATTTTGTTAAAATTGTCTTCCTTGTCATCTTACATCGGCTTCAATATAGAAAAGCAAAACCTGGGAAGAAGGCAGTATTGTGCAGTGACCCTTCAGCTATGGTGGTCAGAGGCACAGAATATACATAAGAGATGAGTCTTAAAAACTTAAGACTCTAGGATCAGTTCAAATCCAAATGACTTAAAAGGAAAAAATACACTTAAGTTTTAGGTTCAATCATCATATTTAAGAGGCATTCAGATCAAATCATAAAAACACAGCATCAGGTACAAAATCGGCATAACAACAGCTCTAATTCCAGACTGTAAAAGAAACAAGCCCCACCCTTTCTGCATGCATCATTTATAGATCAGTATCCCTCTGCATTTCAGTGGGATTCAAAGCTCTAAACAGTCAGCGTTCATTTCAAATGAGTTATGGGCTAATAGGCTGATGTCTTGCAAAATTCTACCCACATAATGATTAATGCTAACTGGTTACGGTGGTACTATCTTGCACAATTCTATTCAGATATTTCCATTTTGAGTCTAGGTAATTACATATTTCAAGAAAAGTACAGTAAGAGTAATTCTGAGAGACAGCAGAAAAAGTGTGGCAAAAAATGCAGCAATAAAAATGGTGGCCTTTTGTGTATGCTCATGAATAAATAAAGTTTAACTTCTTACCTGTAGGAGAAAGATTTTCTCTTTTCTCCTTCATCTCATTTATTCTTCTTTCCATTTCACTGCATTGATTTTTTATTTTAGAAACAGGGCTATACACAAGTGAACCATCATCTTCAAACAGTAAAACTGGTATATCAGTTTCTATGCAAAAAAAAAAAAAAAAATAGTGCACTACTAATTATTCATAATAATTTCTAATAACAATTTGTACTACAACAGATTGAGTACTGCTTTGTTTTTTAAAAAAACTCCAACAAAACACAAATTTGCAAGCAGCTCTGTAAAATGTAAATCAACTTTATTCGTTATAGTGATGTGCACAAAAGCATAAAAAGAAATAAACAAATCCTCAAAAATTCATTCACTTTAAGGGCTTTCAAGAAATAACTAAGATATTTCAATGCCAGTCCAAAGAAATTCTTACCTGCATTAATTCCTATCCTTTGTTGAGCTAATTCCTTAGCCATCCGGTCCAGTCTTCTCTGCAACTTTCTATCATTTTCTGGAGTTTTCTCAACAAAGTCCTTTGGCTGCATACATTTGTGCTAGAAGACATGTAAAACTATCAAGTATATGGTTAAAATCTGCCCTAACTAGACTTCCTTTCTGCCTACCATTTTAACACAGTATTTACTATCAGTGTTTAACACTGGTTTATAATCACTTTAACAGTTCTATGTAATTGCAAAGTTAACATTTTCCAAAACAAATTGTAATATGAAACTACAAAAGATTAATAGATATTTTTGATCAAATTTTAGTAAAAGGGAGATGAAGCTATCAACTTTTTTTTTCTTTTTTCCTTGTTTGTTTGTAGCAACAATACTGCTCAAAAGTTGTGCCTTTTCCCCCTCAAAATGAGGATTTTAGTACTTGTCACAACTCAGTGAAACACAAGGTACATTGTAGTCAGTTGGTCTGGATTAGCAGATCATTTTGTCATCATTTAGATCTTCACTTCTTTATATACCAATATAAACACTCAATTATTATCTTTAAAAACCTACTCAGAGTTTACAGGAAACTCTGAAAATCAACTGTTCAAATGCTCGAGGTCAGGCTATTAGAATTTTACTCACTTTTAGTGGTAACCCTTCATTATTGTATGCTGCAGGAAATAAAGATTCATCAACACGTACTCCAGTTTCTCGACATCTGTGTAATAAAATATAAAATAGAGCTGTCATTTTTAGTTTTTAAGAATGAGAACTTTTGCTGGAAAAAAAAAAAAATTACTCGAGTTGTGCATTCATTAAACTCTTTCCAAGTATTCCTAGCATAACCACTGCAATGCTAAAAACCCAAACCCCAGCAACTTTATACTACATATCAAATAAAGGACATGACAATTTTTTGTGCTTACGATGTTCTCTAAATTGCTGTATCAGTGCTCTAAAACTTGAAGATAATACTTATACTATTCCCTCACACATTCAAAATTCACTGAATGAAGTCAATCTGGACCAAGTCACGTGATTGTAAGATTCAGCCTTTTTTTTTTTTTCTGGGGAATGTAGGTTTTCATTCTTCATTAGCTAATGAGATACTTAATCGTTATTTGCCATTCTGATGATAGTAAAGACTCACCTACAATCTACAGTATGTCAGGAAAAATAAGAAAAGAAAGGATAATGTTCCTATTCTGGTAAACGAGGATGTGAGTTTCATCTGATCCTGGCTCTTAATTCTTACCAATTAGTTTCATTTTCTGCCTCTCTTTGTATATACAATATTAAAATCAGCCCCTTGCAGTGAAGTAAAGCTATCTCTATATTTTTTTTAATTAAAAAAAATAAAAATAATCAAATTGATACTTGACCCCTAGATTTCTTTTTAAATAATTTAAGTCTGAATTGAGATTAGTGGGACTTGTGTTACCTCAAAATATCATACATCTCTATCGTATATCTGCACATTATGCACGGTGTTGAGACAAGAACTTGATTATCAGCACGTTAATGGAAGATATATTTTAGTCAGAACTGGTAATGTTTCATTCTTGAACTATGTTTTCTGTAGTAAATCTGGTTATGGAAAAGAGCCAAAACCTTTGCAGACTACAAGAATTCCACTAGAAGACTGTGATTCTAGTGACACCTAGTGTCAAATTACTTTAATGATCATGTTTGTAAAAGCTAACACAGAGTTTAGAGTTGTCTGGAGTACCAATTAAAAATGATAATCAACCTGCTAAACTGCTGAGACTATTATTAAAATCTAGATTATGATTTTAAACCTGTTTGTTTTTATTTTTTTAAAGAAATGTATTCTGGATTTATGAATTTTTTGAAATTTCAGGGGTCATCTTATGTTCAAGTTTTCTTCTGAATAACATTACTTCCTGTTAAACCACATGGAACCACATTTATTCAGTTTATGCTCAAGCACACTCATGAAGCAGAAGCTTTATCTCAGGCAGATCATTGGCAAGAGCACTCTTAAGTAACAGGCAACATTCACACAGGCCCTGACACTAATAATTTGTGCTGTTTTTTAAAAGCAAAGCAAATATTACAGTTTTTCAAGTCAAAGGGCATGTTGCTATGAAGGCTTATGTACTACTCAGGGGAACATAACAGTGGAACACATGCAGAACGGTTTATAAGTAGTGGTTCAACAGCTGTAAAGTAGGAGAATACTTGGCATGAAGTGGAACAATCAGGAAATGCTGGAATAATTGTTGATGAGTTGCTTCCTTGTCTGGTGTTTTTAGGACTCAAATATCAAAGAGTAGAGCTTGGATAAAATACCACATAGTATCAATATCACAATACCCAAGGGCATACAAGAAAACAGTCAAACTTTCCCATTTTGCTTTGCTACATATTCATGGTATAAGGATGGTCTGAGGCAATATTGTATTTTTTTGTTTGTTTGTTTAATAAAACTGCTTAATTGCTTCAGAATTTTTTAAAATCCACATAAACCTTTCCAGTCTACACTGATTCTGCAAGGAGTTACAGCCTAACTACATCTTGCTAAAAACCATCTACTATTTTCTCAGTATTTGTCTCCATTCAAATTCATGTGAATTCTCCAATTCTTCTACTAGAGAAAGAATAATATACATTCATTCCCTATTCAGAATCTTTATATTAACCTTTGTTTTCATATGAAAGAGAGACCTCTGACTCGCCACTCTCGTTTCTTTTCCAGGATAATTCTTGTTTCTTCAAATCACATTTTGTAAGAAAATCATTTTATACGTTCAGTCATTCTTGATGCCATTGTCTGCCATCATTCTGAACCTATCTCTGGCCTTCTCACTTCAGCTACCAGAAGCATCACACTTGCTAGCTCTTCTTCTCATTGAAGTTTTCAATCACCTTGATGTCTACTTGGAAGGCAACATGGTGGGCTTCAAGCAATCCAGGAGACTCCTGGAGTGCACTGAGAATAACTTCCTGGACCAGGTATAAGACAAACTGACCAGTGGGGAAGCATTACTGGATATGGTGCTCACCAGTGCAAAGGACATCATTAAAGGGTTAAGACCAGAGGCATTCTGGGCTGTAGTGACCATGCCCTGCTTGAGTCCATGATACAGGCCTGTTACATGTCACAGGCCTGGCAAAGAGCAGAGTCAGAACCCTGAACCTCAGAAGAGTGTATTACCAGCTGTGTAAAGAATTATTGGATGGAATCCCCTGGAAAGCTGTCCTTATGTACAAAAGAGTGAAACAGAGCTGGCAGCTCGTTAAGGACACCCTTCTGAGATCAAACAAGCTCTCCATTTCCATGTTTCAGAAACCAGTAAAAGGAGGCAGGAAACCAGCATGGTTGAACAAGGGCTTGCCGGTCAAACTGAGATGCACAGGCAGCAAAAGCAGGGATGCATGGCAGAGGAGAAAGATTACAGAGAAGTTTATTCACTCATCATTATCACTGCCCCCACCTCAATAAGCACATCTCTATATCTTCTATATCATATGATTTCTCCAGTTACAAGAAGACATACACCAAAACCTTGCCCTAATGCTAGGAATACTTTTAAGAATGTCAGGAAGATACTAACTTTTTGTTTCCTATTGAACAGCTTACATTTTCTTCTAGATACTGTTATAACTTTTCATTTGGTACTGGCATCCTGACAGAGTTAGTTTCTTGAGGCTTAAAAGCTTAATCTCAAAGCTGCAGAGCACTGTGTTGTTTTATCTTATTCAGATTGCTATTTCCCTAAGCACATGATACTTAATTGATAAGAAAAGGCCCTTTTACCTCACTTATATTCTAATTTCCATCATCACAGCAATTTAAGAATTGGAGTATTTGAATATAACATATGTGTATTCTTAAAAACCAGTAGTATGTTTTTACACTTTATCAGAAATCTAAGTTAAGCTTCAATCACTTCTTAAACACAGAGGAGATGCCATGGACTATAAACAAAACGGCAGCGATGTTAAAATTCTTGGTTGTTGTTTTGTTTTTTTTTTAATATAACTTTCTCCTTATGGTAGTCAAGAACCTGACAAATATCTTAAGAGACAGACTACATACGGATCTTTTTCTTTCTTGCTATGAGATATTCTGTCTATAGGGACTAAGTACAGAAACAGTACAAATACTTCCTTCATTTTTGTCCCTGACGAAATGTACTTTTTCATATGGAAATGGAATAATTCAATTCAGCATAAATATCTGGTCTTCACTGTCTGTGCATGCCAGCTGAGAGCAAAAGAGTGGAACACTAAACAAATATACCATGCAGCTAATTCAACATACTCATTTTCAACAGATAACACACCATCTTTCTGTGGAAGTAACATTTTATAATAGAAAAAAATGTCATAAGTTATCATTTACTCATAGACTTAACAGTGTTTCAGGTACATAAGAAAAAACAGGTCGTTTTTGTGGAATTTTGTGGAATAGGTCACATTCAGTTACTCAATAGTACTCACTTCTCCACCCAGAGTACAGAAACAATCTTTACACCAGCGTTCTGTGCTTTTCTCCATGTAGTTGAATGCCCATCTTTGAAGACTACATGTGTCACACGCTTGTTGAAAGTTTTTGAAACCTGCAGAATTAAACAGAGATCTCATCTTTGAGTCCGAAAGTCAGAAAATATTAATGAAACAAGACGGAGTGGTCTGTTTCTCTTGCATGAAACACTAGCACAAGAACTTATTCTAAACAGTATGTCAAGGATTGCTTTGATCTTTTACGTATTTGCAAAAAGCTCGAAGCAATTAAAGCCCAGGTCTGATTATTCAAGTCAATGCAAAACAAGATGGAGGGCTACAGTAGCCTTTTATTTTCATAATTTCTTTTCTCTGTGCTAGCATTTCCATTTTCCTACTCTCTCTACATGACTAATCTTACATCATTATTGTTTAAGTAGCCAGAAATTGTTATGAAACCATCAGTACAGAAGTTAGTTGCCACTATCCAAAGAAATGCCAGTTGCATCTTTCATTTAGTGAAGAATTCACAAACTTAGAATACAGGTAACGTCATCTTAAGTCACAAACTAATTCTCAATAATAGTACTTCTAGTTCTGAGGAAAGACTGATGCTACCAAAAAACAACTATGAGAGAACACTTTAAAAACAAGGGTGAGAAATACAGGAAACTCAGGTAAGCATAGTTAACATCACTGTGTCAAATGTCAGTTAAGTGACATTTTCACTGTGACGCAAAACTGATTAAATCTGCAGTTACAAACATCTAATAACAACTAAATGATAATGCTTTCAGTCCCAGATGTGCCATTCTTTACAAACAACATTTCTAAATATAAAACTGTTCAATCAGTTGTTGTGAATATACCAAAATCATCAAGTTAATAATTCACATTTTACAGCAACATCTCCTCAACAGTCAAACAGAAGTAGTTACGTAGCTCTCTGTTGTTTAGCTCAGTTGCATCACTATATTTGGCTCCCAAAATGTTGCATTTACATTTGGTTTTAATAAAACTATTCAGCTTCTCCAAACATTTCTGATAGCAAGTTGACCTACTGCTTTTCAAAAGACAAAACCCATGAGATGTAAGTATCTAGGAAAAATGAGTCTTTTTCAGAAAAATTCATGACTTCCAGATACAAATGTATTGTCATTTCTAGTTACCAGGCTCATGCTTTAGCCCTCATGCTAAGGACACTTGATGCTTGATAAGGCTTTACCACCAAATTATGGAGCATCACTACCTTAGGCCTCCCTCTCACAATGAAGCCATCAGTCAGGGTACAGTCACATGCAGTAGTCCTCTCTTTCATCTCATCTCTGACCCTGGAGGTCATTCACTGATCACTGGCCTCAATTTGGTACATCTGAACCAACCATCAGTGGAAAACACACAAAAAAAATCATAATTTTCTTTCCTGACAGAATAAGCCAAGCCAGTACACTACCATATGCTCAGCCCAATAAAAGGTAAGGTAGTGTCCAGCCAGGACAGCATCACCCCTTTTCGGTCCTGGTGAATAGTCTCAATAGTCTCACCTAGCTCCACAGTCTTATATATAACTTTCATCTTATCAAGCTACTTTCAGATCAACAAAATACAACTGTGAAGCCTTATCACATTTTTCATGAGTATAATGTGATGCCATCAGAACAGAATTTAATAGATTTCACAGCACAGCCAAAAAAAAAAAAAAAAACAAACCACCAAAAGAACTTACTATTGAAATTATTTATTGTGAGTTGTATTTCCTTTTACAATAAAAAGAGTTGTTCTGCTGTTCTGTCATGCTATCTCAGCTAAATTCCTACAAAAAGTGAGGCTTTGGGGACATTAGCAAAATTTCCTAAATTACAGTGAGATACACCCACACGTGCCCACTTACAAAGCACTGGGAGTTCATATAAGTCTTATTAGGCTTTAAAAAATCTCCACTGAACAGCAGTAATGTGGAGGAAGGCAAGATGCCTGTTTGGCTGTTTTTTAAATTTTGCATCTACAATCCAAATATATTTTACGTGAAAAAATCACCAAGACATATACAAAGACTTTTAGATGTATTTTTACTAGCACTTTCTACAAATGAACCACATTTGTTGGAGACTGAGTGGAAGAACGTCACAGTCCATCGGTTAAAAAACACTGTAGTAACAATGGACCAGCAGCCTACAAGTTATAGAAAACAAAGCAACATGTAAATGACTTAGCTTTTTGACCTTTAGATTTGGTTTGTCCCCAGTGTGGAGCAACACCAACACTTCACAGCAGATTAACAGACAAGGAAGTTTATATATACTTAAGAAGGCTTTATATGTATTTCTTATCTACCGCTAATAAGAATTTTAAAGCATAATCATATATTCTCAAGTTTGTGATTATTTTCCTTCCTGCCCCTTTAAAAACTCCTACTACAAAGAATTACACAAGCAGAACAAGCAAAGTTTGTAATTAAAATTTTTCTTATTCTATTAATTTCAAAATAGTTTCCTTACTTTTGCTCCCATATCAAGAAGTTGCTGCTCAAAGGCTTTCGAGTAATTTTCTGTTCTGCTAGATGACCAAACTTCTACAAATGCATATACACCTGGAATCAGAAGAAGGAAAACAACAGATATTTAAGTGCACTGTGGTAAAACTAGTTAAATTGTCCTTCAGAAAATAATTTGCTTTAATACTCCCTTCATACACACTCAGTAGCAAGAATAGCTTTGAACAATATATCAGGTATTAGCAATAGAATTTTTTTTTTTTTAGTATTTCTGCCCCTTAAATTACTTGGAATAAACTAATAAGATTGACACTCGTTAAACAATTTTTCACCTTTTAGAACACATTACAAACTCAATAGGCAAAACAATATCTTTCTATGGCTGGTTTTAATCATTGCTAATCTTCAAGTAAATAAAAAATGTTAAGATAAGTTGTCATAACACAAGCTACAGAAGATACTGAAATAAATATGGAATTACCCTTTCAGCAAATCCCAATAAAAATATGTAGAAATAACCATTCCCAACTGACTTAAAATTCCACCTTATCTACGTCAAATCACCTAGAAATTAAGTACCTATCACAAGGGCTAATGAATTTTCACATCAGCTGCTTTACAGATGTTTAGATATATTGCACTTAAGCAGCTTACTTTATCAATCAGATTAAGAATCTCTTTAAGGAATAAAATAGCCATGGCTCAGTAGATCTTAAAAAAACCCCACCACAATCCCAGATGTATTGACATAGAAGGATAAGCAAATGAATCTTTTAATAATCCCTTTGTTAGTTTGACTTAGGATGACCTATAGCTGCATTGGCCATACCAATTTCCCCTTTTGAATAGCACATCAGGAAAATTCCAGAAAACTGGAGGAATGCCAGTTCACCAAAACCAACTTTAAACAAACTGCAGGCCAGGAGACGCTCAGAGCTCAGGAATAAAATCAAAAGCTTTGACTGTGGGTCACCTTCAATGCGTGGCATGCAGATTCTTGTTCATCTCTGACAAAATGCACAGCTAACAATGGTAACTATGTTGCAGTACAATATTTTGTACTTGAGAATTTGCTCTTTTGAAAAGTGTTATTGTATCTGCTGTAGCCTTAGGTGGCATTTCTTTAGGAGTTACACACACATTATGTAATGAATTGGAAGTTCACACGTATCATCCATGATCTTAAACGTAAAACAAAATTACATTCTAACTGCAGTACTTTCATAAAGATTAATGTTTTTTAATTGCTACAAATTAGAATTATAGAACCACTCAGGTTGGAAAAGACCTTAAAGATTGAGTCCAACCACAACGTAACCATACTACCCTAACTCTGACAACCCTCTGCTAAATCAAGTCCTGAGCACCACATCCAAATGATTTTTAAACACACGCAGGGATGGTGACTCAACCACCGCCCTGGGGAGCCCATTCCAGTGCTTAAGTTTTTAATCTATAAAAGAAATAGGAAACCTAGAACACCACCTTAGCCAGATCGGATGGAAATAAATGACTATCAGTGTTCTGACTTCAGATGCTGATGGGACCATAAGCCTACACCAATTCCCTCATTTCACACACGTTCATTTTAGTACTGGACCAGGACAGTTTTTTGCTGGGCTGTTCTCTTGTAAAAAAAATATTCAAAACAACCAAGGTTTTCTTCTCCTTCTTCAACAGATGCTTTAAAACCTTCACAGCTGCCGTTCCTACCAGTGAGGGCCATGCTGGGAACTCAGAGTTCTCTTCAAAGCAGCACAAACTAGCTGTAGGACCAAAGGGATGCTTTACAGTAATTGCCCCATTCTCACAAAGGAGAAAACGCTTCTAGCTTTTGTATTGCAGGTGTAAGAGAAAGTCAGAAAGCCCAGAGCTTTTTTGAGCTAGAAGAGCTTTGAAAAAGGTAGGTTAACAGGCCTGAAAGGTGGCGTCTGTAGTGGGGAAGCGACAACCAAGAGGGTCACCCAGCGGGGGAGAAATTTCTCCAGACGGAAGGCACGCCGAGCCGGGGCCCAATGCGTTACGAGGACGGCAGCGCAGGCAGAGACGGCCGCCGGCACCGAGAGCCGCCCGCCGGGGCACCACGGCGCTGCCCGCCCCGTCCCGTCCCTTTCCTTCCTGCGGCCGCGGGGCGAGCCACGCCGGAGAAGGCCGCGCAGGAACGAGAAGACCGCCGCCAGCCGGGCCCTCACCGCAGCCCCAGGGCCGGCAGCCCCAAAGGGAAAGCCGCGTGAAGGCGCCCGCTGCAGCCCGGCGGCTGCTGCCCCCGCGGAGCCCGGCCGCTACCTTTCAGCACGGACTCCATCAGCGGCTCCGGTGCCCGCCACCGTTCAAACTTCCTCCGCGCGGCTCCGCGGCGCCTGCGCGGTACTGCCGGGCTCTGCCGCGCCTGCGCGGTGCTGCCGGACCCACAGCCTACCTCCGGAGCGGGAGTTGTGGCGGGAGGGGTGGTGGGAAGGTGGCTGTGGGCGGGTGCGTGAGGAGAGGTGATACAAACAGACGGTGGTGATGCAGTGGAACAGGTTGCCCAAGCAGGCTGTGGATGCCCCATCCCTTGAGGCATTCAAGGCTAGGCTGGATGTGCTCTGTGGCAATAAAGGTGCAAAATAAAGGTGCTACACTAGTACTTCCTTCAGAAGCATTCCTAAAGTAGAGGTTATGAGTAGAACGAGGAAACATCTGTGAGCTTTTAATGGACTTTGAAAGCATGTAATGAAGCTGGGATGATAGGAAATTAGTGAGCAGAGAAAATTCAGTCTCTAAATAGATTTTGGAGGGTAATAAATAGCTGAAATGTACAATTAGAGTGGTATGCTCTTATTCCCTTGTCGGTGAAGACAGTGAAGGTTAGTGACTATGGGAATCTGGTGCGGCTCATTACCAGAGCAGACATCAAAGGACACTGCATTTGGGTTACTCACCTTGTTGTGATGGAGACAGATATGTACAATACCAAAAGTATCCAATGAATTTACGGTCTTTTGTCTTAAATGGTTGAAATTTTGACCTCACAGTTGTTTCAGGCGTTATGAGAACTTTTCTGGTAATGGCACAATTTCACTGGCAAAATTCATTTTCATGAGTAGTGGTAGTTCTTATGCAAATATTATCTTTCAGTTCTTTCATAGCATTCATTGTCCCATAGTATTTACAGAAAGTAGGAATACATTTTCGCAGTTACTATTTTACCAGTTTGAATACATGAGGATGTTTTAGCTCTTGTGAGGCAATGAACTCCTGCAAATGGCAATGAAAGGCAGATAAATAAACTTAATGTAAGTGCCCACTTAACAGACTTGCTAGACTTGTTGATACACAATTTCATGGTGTACATAAACTGGGGATGTAGCATAAGGTGGAGTGATTTCTGTACAGCCTGTACAGCATAAAAATTACCGAATGCTGCAAAGTGTAGAAAGAGTTTTACAGGTTCTGTTATGTCTAAAAAGGGAGGACCAGTAAAAGCAGCATTTCACTTGACTTCCTAAATGAAAGAGTAGATCACGTTCCTAAGAGGTTATAGTCCTATGAAATTCTAAATATTTCCTAAATGTCCAAATAATGTTGAAAAAATAATTGGAAAAACAAAGCTACAATGGAGCGGTTATACTAAATTGAATGAAGAGGAGCAGTATTCTCAAGTACTTCCTTGATAATTCTGAATATTCCCTCTCCTTGACTAATTAAAATTAGAAGGGATCTTTGAGATGGAGTGCCGTAAGACTGTAACACAGAGACAAGGCTCATTCCTCTGAAACACAGTTCATATGGTGGGCTATGAGTCACTTCTTAAGACTCATGTTGAATCATATGAAAAATATCTACAACAATTAAGACAGTTTGTACTTATTAAGTATAGTCTAGATTTGTTTATTATCAGGCGGTGTACTTTGGTTGGCTGGTTTGTTTTATGGGCTGATTTTCAACTAGGACAAACAACATTTTGATCCTTTTTTTAATTTTTGTCCATTCCTAAGTTTCCAAGTGTCAACCATGAATCTCAGATAAACTGAAAAGGCTGAGGTGTGTTACTTCCCCCAGAGAAGCAAATCTTGGTGAGACAATCTACATATACAGCACCTGGGTGTTTTAAAACCAGGATATATTTGAAGAGGTCTTCTCTACAATGCTTCTTAGCTATTATAGGTGCAGAGATAGGAAGAAATGGTTAGAGGAGCTGCAAAATGTGCACCTTGCCTTCATGGACAAAGCTCTAGAAAGCAGTTATGATTGCCCATTTAAGCTATTATAATCTCTTCTGTCAATGTGGGCTTCTCAGTTTATCAGTAAAGCTAAATATTCTTGTAAGTTCATTTTGTTTGAATATGGCTTTCTTAAATAGCATACAAAACTGTAGAGTTTCAGTTGCCATGTACTGTTATGTTAATACTGAACTTTTAGAACTATACATAATCTATACTAGAATCTTATGTATGTTGTCTCATGGCCATTTAATTATACTGTGATAGACTAATATTTCCAGCTAACGAGCTCTGTCATTGCAGCTGCTTGTTTATTAGTTTCTAATTTCACTGCATTCCAATATGTGAGCTCATCCAATTTTTCCTATATTCCAGTTCGCATCTCTTTTAATAAAGCCTCTGTTAAACCATCTGCAAATTTCATTAGCTCACACTTTAGTTCCAAGCTCAAAATGAAAGTAACAATGTTAGTAGACTGGATCATAACTGGATCTAAAACTTTAATGGAATTAAGATTGGATCATTCAGGGTCTCTTTTAGAATATTGTCTTTGGCTCTCCCTTTGCTATGAGCCATTTTACCCCACAGACTTTTCCAGCTTAACTTCTTGAACAACTCCATTTCTTTTTCATGCGAGGTAACAGTGTACCACATATCAAACTCTACATAATACTATATATTACAGCAATGCAGATTTAATCTCTGTTACCTTTGCCATTTATTGCCCCCAGATACTTTTTCCTTTCTCTTGTCTTAGTTGAGATACAAGTTTGGAAAATCATTCTTCACAAGTTTGCAGCAGAAAGATATCTTTGGGCACAGGAGTAGCCACCTCCAACTGGTTAGAACTGAATTTTGATGACGCACAGTGGAATTACAGGCCAGGAAACTAACCCGGAATGGTGCTAATATAGCTCAAAATTGGGTGAAAGGATACTCTGACATTTTTCATACTGAACTGTTATCTGACACTCATGCTGGATATAGTTTGTAGAACTGTTGTAGATAAGATAGAGGAGTCATGCCTCAATAGTCTCAGGAGCATTCTAGTCTCATTTCTTCTCCACAAGCAGAGTGGCTCCTGAGATTGCCATCACTGGCTTTATGCTTCTATTCCACAGAATAATGAGAGCTTTTCTGTTTTGTGTAGTAGTTCAGTCTAAACAGAAGGGGAACTTCTTGTCTCATATTTTCTCTGTTTATTTTAGTATATGTTTTGTAAAGTGCTAGTGTGTAGCAGAAAAGCATTTGAACAAACAAACAAACAAAATTTTTAATAGCCAAAGTAACTTTGTGAACAGTATTAGAAAAAGAATGTTGCATGAGCTTGTCAGATAGATGTGCGTTTATCATCGGCAAAAACCTGGTAGTTCTTATTTGTCTTTGACAGTATGTGGACAAAGTTATGAGGGACATTTATTTCTTGCCATAAAGGAAGGGTAATATAATGGATCATGTAGTCTTACAAAATTGTTAAATGTTCTCATCATTGAGATGGCTGTTCATTTTCTAATGCTGATGTTCATGATCAAGAAAATGACGTGTTTAGTGTGAGAACTTTTTCAAGGAAGGAAAAAACAGTTATTATTTCTTCTTTCAGCTGAGGCAGACACTAATTTTATTTTCTCTTTCTATCCTGTAATTTAAGAAATCGCCCCTTTTAGATCCACAACAAACCTGCTGACACAGCACTAGCTTTAGTTTGAGTCTGCAAAATGCTGATAATAGGATAGAGACATACCCTTGTAAATTTTAACTCACCCAGTGAGACAATGTCTTTGACATACTGTGATCCTAAAGGCCTATCACAGAAGAAAAACACAGCACCATGCTGAAAAATAACAATCCATCATATAACTGAGAGCATGACTTGACAACATGCTAATAAGCAGATGTCTCTGTTGTTCATGCTGTTGTGGAAAGCTTATGTATCTGCCCTCCAGACAGCTTTTACTGCCTGTGGTTCAGGCTATGATAGCAGCTGTAAAAGGGTGGAAAAGCTAGTTTATCTGACCTCAGTATAAAATTCTCTGTTGAAGGTTTGTGATATTCTCAAGCAATGAAGTACTGGACTACTGACCAAAGACCACTTGCTTTTCATCCAGTTTTTTGTGGAGATGCAGATGTAGATTATGGAAGATAGCATTAAGGAAGTGTATCCAAAATACAAAATGATCCTATTCTTATTTGGTAAAGCAGTACCAAAGATAGTATTTAAAAATACTGTCCTTTTGGGTATGTTCAGTCTCATCTTGGTGATACATGTGAGAGCAATTTAAAAAATTTCCACCTCCTGCTGTGAGCAGTTTATGTGAGTCTCAGGAAAAGTGATGGTAGGGTAAGGTTGGAGTTCAGGCTGTGAATTGAGGCAGGAAAGAAGCTGACTCAACTCCTGAAGAAGTACATAAAGAGTACAGTAGGAGGTGTAAACTTCTTATGTCTTCGTGACATGAATGATCGAAGCTCATTTGAAGGCATCTGAAGTGCTTTACTTCTGGAGTGAATGTCTTGTGGATGAAGTAGACATAGAAGACATGAAGAAAGACATAGATGGTTACTGTTTCTTCAGAAATAGACAAGCAACTCTATTATTTGTGTAACTATAGTTTGCCCACATCCTGTCAGCAGATCTTGTTTCCCAAGTTAAACAAAATTTGAGTTCAGGTTCAGAAAAGTGTGACTGGCATACTTAAAAGTATGGAATAGATTCCATATGATTAAATGGACCTGGAAATTGACTGGAAAACAGCCAAGCGAGAGAAGATACAATTCGTGCCTACAGAATGATGAGTTGCCTGGAGAGTACAACTGAAAAGATTCCCAATAAAGAAGCAGTGGCATCAAAAGAAAGTAGTGGAAGGCAGATGCAGAACAAACAACAGTAAGTGGGTTTTTTTTTGTTTGTTTGTTTTTTCCTGCAAAAGAGGAACTTAAAATGAAGATCTTGCAGACAGATGTTTTGAGTTCCAAAAGTGGACACAGAATTCAAATGGAAGCTGGAAGGAAAGCATACGGGGCCTACTAAATATATCACAACTAGGATTAGTTTAGAAAATCCTGAAGCCATAGATAGGTTGAGAGTCTACCTGAGATAGGACACGAGTGGGTAAACTCTGACCCAGCATACATACTCTTATCTTAAGTTCAAATTTGTGATAGTCTTAATGTTGTAGGA